TTGAATGGTTGGCTTGGTGATAAATTCGAAAGTTTTCTACGTAAATTCAGTACTAGCGCTACGCGAGGCAGACTGGTTGGTTCAGCCGGATTGCGTGTTGTTTCGTTTCTGAAATAATTTTTTCTATAATTCTCGACCTCTTGAGTAGCTTTACGATACTTGGTTGCTGGGACCAGGACCAGAGCCAACTTGTCTGATTTGGTCTCTTCACTTGTTACAGAAGTCAGAGTATCTGCATCTTCACTCCTCCCCATGCTCCAGTGCTGGAACTGTGAGAGAAAATCGGTAGTAGTCGACATCTCATGTAAGTTGACAGGATGTTGGGGGGATGGGGGTGGTTGCGCAGGAGGCTGATTGTTGGAACCAGCAGCTTCTAACTTTGCAGTGCAAAGAGATGTCTTGCAAGGAAGTGTTGCCAAAGATGCCAGATAAGCCCGGTAGGTAGCAGGATTGGGTTCAAGGTCAACTGATGCAAGATCAGTAACAACCGGCTCAACAAGACAAGGATACTGGACATGTCCCTTGTCAAGGGTACCATGTCACCTTTTGGTCTCAAGGTCAACAACGGGATCAGGCTCAAGGTCGACCGATGCAAGATCAGTAACAAACGGCTCAACAAGACAAGGGTACGGGGAATGTTCCTTGTCAAGGGTACCATGTTTGCCTTCAGGCTCAAGGTCACCAGAGACAAGAGGCTCAGCAAGACGAGGGTATTGAGTGTGTTCCTCATCAGGGGTGAGACGTTTGGCATGATGACTATTCCATTGCCTAGTATTGGACAAAGATGGATAGAAAATAGAATCTAGTTTAATAACAGAATATTATTATTCTTGGGTGAAAGCTCAAGATTACACTAGAAGATAATATATCAATTCAAGGTAAACAAAACACGACGCGATGAGTCGATTGGGAATTGGCAAACGTTGATGTGTGGTTCTCAACGTTCTCATCCGATGACATGTCATATATCTATTTTGCTACTAATTACTATAAGACCCATAAGACCGCTAACGATTGAATCTTATTGGTCCGAATCACAAATCCGTTTCTGATACAATTCTGTCACTCCCCAAATGGGTGAGTGATTGAGGACCTAGTCCTCGTCAGCTGTGTCACCTACCCAAAAGAGTAGTGTAGTACGTAGCTGCGACCATATATGTTGATACCCCCAATGTTTGCTAAGGATATCTGCCGGGTTTTTAACACCATCGATATGTAGAAAGGAAAGCATGTTGGATGCTACGGCCTCTTTAACATGGTGAAACGACAACGCGACATGTCGTTTGTGTAGTTTTGCATCTGGTCGAGATGAGCTGTTAACAACAGACTCATTGTCTCCAAACATGTAGCTACGTCCTTGGATAGAAACACCGAGGTGTCTCGGTGTGAATCGTAGGTCCATGATTTGTTCCACACAAGTACGGGCTGCAACAAACTCGGAGCCGTATGTGGCGGTTTCAACGGTAGGTTGCTTCTTTGAAAAAGCATCAATAGGTGTTCCATTAATTAGGTGTAAAATACCTGTTACTGATCTACCAGTTAACATACAGTGGAATAGGTTGGCATCCACATAGTGAGTCAGGATCACCGGCTTACCCAATGGTGTTGGTGCATCTGCAGGGATCTGCTTGGTAGGACAGCCATAAACTGAGTCTGCCCAGTCATAGACTGGATCAGTTACATCACTGTAGTCTGGTAGGCCGGTTCGGAATCTAATGGCTGCGTTCTTCATCTTCAGAAGGTAGCTGTTAGAAGTAAGCAATCCACTGCCACCTGCAATCTACCTCTTCAATTGACTGCAATTTAGCTGTCCAGGTATTGTTGCCTTCTAAGTATGTGAATTTACAGTATATAGAAGTATATAGATCTATCAGAGATCCTACTTTATCAACCAATTCACTCGTTGCTTGCAATATATTATAAAAAGTGAGAACAATCTGTCAACTTTTGACTTTGACTCTTTCTTCTCCAGCTCAGTGGAAATTCTCAGAATTCTCTC